TACAGAGTGGCTCGTATACTGCATGAAAAATAGCACTAAAAGTTCCTGACGAAGAAATATCTTTCAAGATTGACACAGGTGCTGATGTAACAGTTTTGAGTAAGACATCGTATGATAACCTAGAAGAAAAACCAACACTGAAACGTACTAAAGTAAAATTGAAGGGTCCAGGAGGATGTCCATTAAATGTTATTGGAAAATGTACACTCCAGATCAGTTATAAGGGTGAAAATAATAAAATCAAGGTATAGGTATGTCATGGAAAATCATGAAAATTTACTTGGCAGACCTGCAATACAGGACTTGAACTTGCTAAAACTGATTAATAGCATCAAGGCCCTGAAAACTGTGAGTACTGAAAAACTATATTTGAGAAAAATTACAAAATATTTCCCAGAACTTTTCAATAGAATTGGGAAATTAAAAGACTATGAATACAAGATAAAAATTACAGAACACTGTGTGCCATACTCAATTTCAGCACCCAGAAGAGTGAGTAGCACTTCCATTAATGGATAAAGTTAAAAGAGAGCTACAGAAAATGGTAGATAAAGAGATAATTGAGCAGGTGGATTGCGATAATCCTACTCTATGGTGTGCACCCCAAAACAAATGATCAAGTAAGAATATGTGCTGTTTTCACTGAGCTCAATAAATTTGTTTTGAGAGAAAAACTTATTTTACCAACAGGGGTATTAGTACATATTGATGATATTACAGTTTTTGGAGAAAATGTTGCACAGCATGATAATAGTAGATTATACCACGAGTCGATAATGATAGCTATTATTCCCGAGGAATATTTACGAACTGAGCCGCGTTAGCGGCGAGGGAGTAACATTCTGAGGGAATAATAGCCATTATTGCGAGTAGTATACTCGTTCTACTTTATTCACGACAAATTTATTTATTTGAGATTTTTATTAGCAAATTTCATCTCAATACAAATTCACAAGGACTACACGTTTGACATTGACACTTCTGAGGAATAATGACCATTAATCCCGCTACTCGTCATTATTCCCTGTGGGTGACATTATTAGTCATAAATAATAGTAGATTATACCACGAGTCAATAATGATAGCTATTATTCCCGAGGATTATTACGAACTGAGCCACGTTAGCGGCGAGGGAGTAATATTCGGAGGGAATAATAGCCATTATTGCGAGTAGTATACTCTACTTTATTTACGACAAATCAATTTATTTGATATTTCCAATGAACAAATTTCATCCGTCTCATAATTTTCAATACAAATCCACAAGCACTACACGTTTGACACTGACACTTTTGAGGAATAATGACCATTAATCCCGCTACTCCTCATTATTCCCTTGGGGAATAACATATGTCATTATACTGCCAAAATCACAAATATAATACGCACATTATACATTAGTCGTAAATAAAAGGTTAAAAAGAGTGCTTAAAGTGTTACGAGATAATGGACTTACCTTAAACGAGTCAAAAGGTCACATAGGCATTTCGGAAGTGAAATTACTCGGACACATTATCGGACAATCGGGTATAAGAATGGACAGTGACAATATAAAGGTTATATTAGACTTTGAAGAAACCAAAACAGTGACAAATGAGGCAGTTTCTTGGTATGATAAATCATCTTACAAAATTTCTTAAAAATATTGCAGATGAAACAAAACCTCTACGCGAACCTTTAAAACGTAACAATACTTTTCAGTTTAATGATATCCATTGATAGTGTTTTAATAAATTAAAAATACTTGTCACAAATGCACCAGTTTTGCAGGCTTATGATGTTACTAAAGAAACAAGAATTCCCGCAGACTCGAGCTCTTTCGGAATTGGTGGCTGTTTAGAACAATTACAACCAGATGGGAGATGAGCTCCTGTTATTTATTGTTCAAGAAGTCTAAGTGAAACACAACAACGCTTTGCCCAAATTCAAAAGGAAGCATATGCTATTGTATGGGTATGTGAAAGACTGGAAGAGTACCTAATAGGTAAATCATTTACTATACAAACTGATCATTTACCACTTTTGAGTATCCTAAAGAAGAAATCTATAAATGATTTGGCTGTAAGATTGCAACGATTTAGACTAGAGATTGAACATGTTGCTGGATAAAAATTCTATGTACCAGATACATTATCAAGACAGCCACTGAAACAGATAGATAACACACCAAATGGTTGAAGTGGCACAGCAAGAACAGTTTCAAAAATTTAGTGAATATCTAATGCAGGAATGGCCAGGAAAAGCATCACAAGTAACTAAGACATGTCAAAAATATTTCAAGTATCGTAATGAAATTACATATTATGGCAGTTTGTTGTATTACAAAGACAGACTTATAATTCCTTCATCTATGTACAGAGAAACTTCAAATCAAATCAATATTGGACATCAAGGCATAAATGATTGCAAATCTAAAGCAAAACATACTGTATGGTGGCCCAATATCAATAATTATATCGGGTCTTCAAAAAAAAAACCAATCAAAGATTGCTATGGTTTTTTAAACGTATGTCTTAGCAATATTTGTCTTTAATTTTGTCAATGAAATTTAATGTCAAAATGTCCTGTCAAAAATCCTGACGAATAAAGAAACAGTAATGCGACGTACGTTTTCGTAGTCAAAGCAATCTTCGATTGGTTTTTTTTTTGAAGACCCGATATCATAGAAATAGTAAAAAATTGCCATGAATGTTTGAAGAATCAGAATCCAAGCAGATCCTATGACACTTCGAAAATTGCCAGATTTACCATTTCAGCATGTATTAGCAGATTTATTCCAGTACAGAAATCAAGTGTACCTTGTCATAAAGGATGTTTACTCATAATATCCAGAAGTTATCACACTGAAGAAAACTAAAAGTGAAGACATTATCGAAAAATTAAAAGAAATATTTGGACGTTATGGAATTCCAGCGATATTATACTCAGACGGTGGACCACAACTTGATAGATACAATTTCAGGAAGTTTGCAAAAACTTACAACTTCAACCACATAAAAAGTAGCCCCAGGTTTCCACAAAGTAATGGTTCAGCAGAGAGAGCTGTACAATTAGTGAAAAAACTATTAAAAAAGTGTGAAGATCCTTATTTGGGAATATTAGCATACCGCAATACACCACTTTCATGTGGAAACTCTCCTTCAGAACTACTATTTGGAAGAAAACTTGGAGAAATTTTACCTACCACAAAGAAAAACCTTAAACCAAAACTGGTTGACCATGAAAAAGTTAGGAAGAAGCAGAGAGAGGAACAAGAAGAAGCAAAGAAAAATTATTACTGTAGACATAAGTCAAAAATTTTACCAAAATTGAATGACAATGACCTCGTTTACATAAAAGATGTGAAATGTAATGGAAACATTGTAAGACAATGTCGAGAACCAAATTCATTTATGGTCCAGACCGAAGATGATGTTCTAAGGAGAAACAGAAAATTTTTGGTAAAACTACCTGAAATCAAGGATTAGTATATTACATACCGAGTAGGGAAGTGTTTCATTACTGTCGAGAGATTTATATAGTCAATCGAGACGCGAAGCGTCGGATTGACTAATAATCTCGAGACAGAAATGAAAACTTCCCTCCAAGGGGAAATGTTGTCATTACTGACTTTTCAAAAATTTGAAAATGTCACATTTCTGTCTTTTCATTTTCCTGCTCCATTACCTGTCCCAGGACGGGAAGTGAGGACGGGAATTTTTTTCCGTCCTCATTTCCCGTCCACGGACGGAAAATGGAGCAGGGAAATATTTCCCGTTCTCATTTTCCTCTTCATTTGCCGACCTCATTTGGTTGCCCCGAATTTTTTTTTTCAATAAATTATGGTTAAAAATAAAATAGTATACAACCCTCGACGGGAAACTTCATTGCTGTCTCGAGGTTCACTTTATCTCGACGCTACGCGTCTCGATAAACTATAAAACCTCTCGACCAGTAATGAAGCATTTCCCGTCTCGGATTGTAATATACTATAAACATTAAGGAGAGAGTAAAGCGGAAATACTACAGAGATACAAGGATATGTAGAACCTGTAGGAAGACAAAGACGAGAAAAACGAGGACCAAAAAGATTTGATGATTTTGTTATGTAAAATTTGTTTATTTCAATTCAAACTTCTTTGTTATTTTTAGTTGACATTCAAAGTTCTAATTATTTAATGTTATGTTAAACTCCGTAAATCTTCCTTTCGTTTGGTAATGTACTACCTATATATTTTGATTCTTTTTTTTCTACGAGCCTGCGAAAAGTGTACTTTTCCGCAAGCATTTTAGGTCATGAAAATATCACTTTTCCGCACTAGTGCTTTTCCGTAAAAAAATATCTTAAATTGATAAATATTTAGGTAAAAATATTACCTTTCATCTCGTAGAAAAAATAGTGTTCCTCGCTCGTGTCTCTCTTTTCCGCACCAGTTAGGAAATATACTATTTCCTACAACTGCCTCTGAAAAATCGCACGCTAGGCAACCTCTGAAAATAGAGTTTTCCGCACGGCGTGCGGAAAAGTTTTTCACACGCTCCTCAGCGTGCGAAAAAGTTTTTCACACGCTGCTAATTAGTTTTCTCATTTATTTTGGTCTTGTCATCTTGACATGACAACAAAAATTGTGATTGTCACCAATTTCTGATGTTTATGATTTGTTTTCTAACAAATAAAAATTACATATTTGGTTTTTTTATTTTGCAGTTGTAGGAAAAGCATTGTAAAAAACTGGTTTGAAAACCTTTTTCCACACTGGCTCGACTTGTGGAACTCGCCTACGTCTCGTTCCAACACACTGTCTCGCCGTGCGAAAAAAGTCGTTTTCACAACTTGTTGTTTAAATAACTATTTCAAAATTAAAAGTACAGGAGATGTATAATAATATGTCAAAGATAGGGGGAGTTTGAGAGGTGATGTCACTTATGTGTCAGAATATGAAGGTCGTATGAAACGCTCTCACAGTTTTATTTGAAAGTTTACTTTAAAACCGCAATCAATGAACTAAACTTATACTAACCTTAGTATTTAATGTAACATCGTCCACAATGGATTTCTTATCGCTCACGAGTACTCCTTGTTGATTTTTGATGTTTATAATTCTTTGTTTTCCGTTAGATGACTTGGTTTTGATGGTTTTCAATACTTTCATATTCTTGTTGGCTTCGATTGTTTCTAAAATTTGTTTAGTTGTCTAAGTTCTCAGGTCTGTCCTTATAATTTTTATCACTCTTGCATTCTTCTCGTTGTATTGTGGATCATCTCTGTTCAGTGTTCTTCTCTCTGTTATTAAATCTACAGTTTCTGGGCTTAGTTTTGTGTCCTTTGGATTTTTACTTTTGCTACATATTTTCTTTGTTGTTGTCTGGATGGATTCTGTTATTTTTTCAGCTAACTTGTTAAGTTCTGTTGGGTTTTTAATTAATTTTAGTTTCTTTTGAAGCTCATTTTGATATTCATCTTTTTTCTGTGTTAATATCTCCATTGCTGGGAACCTCGACTAAAATGTGGATGAGAATTTGAAACACATAATCACAAGTACCTTCAATTTAAGCTTAATTTTGGTGTACCTACAGATAAAACATTGATGACCTACCTGTTAAATAGCAAAGTTTTAATCGAATTGCTGCATTGAAAGATTAAATATAATAGCATGTAGCCTAATTCTTCGTGGCCGTTGTTTCGAATAATGTGCCGAAAATTATTATCAATATTGGTTTCGAATCAACAAGGGCCAAGAGTAAACAAATACATATTGGAAAATGAAACATTTGAAATGCACCTCCTTAGTTTATTCCATTCAACTTCCTCTTATAGGGCTACAATTTTTGGGAAATTGTATGATGTGACTTGAAGTGGACAAGTTTACTTTATTTGTAGCCATTGAAAAATATAGTTGAATGAAATATATTTTTTTAAACTAGTCTGCAATGACCAAAACAATAATACACTCTATCAATTTAGGCTAAATATATTTATTTCACATACATAATCATATAGTGTGTTTTATTTTCGTTTTATCTGCCTAGTTCGCAACCTTATATACTTATTAAGAAATAAACTTGAGATTAATATTCGATCAAATTATGTATGCTACCATAAAATTCAGTCGACGAATAAAGTCGCTAGAGCTACAAAATTCAAAATAACGACACGTATAAGACAGAAGGATGTGTAATATTATTTGATTTAGATCAAATAGAGTAGGTAGATACGAATAAAATTGCCAATTTTTATCATCAGTGTTAATAACTTATTCATTTTACAAAGGGAATTGCCTCTATTTAGTTTAATCAATGGCAAGTTGGTGATGTCACCATTTTATTCCGCTTGATGTTTGCTCGAGTACTAAATTGATCATTGTGCTTTTTATAAATTTTTAGCACACCCAAATAAAAAGGTTTGTTTATACGCAATTTTTAATTGTTTTGTGCCATTTCTTTTAATTTGCGTCTATTAGATTATTAGATATGAGGCTAACCTATCTATTTTGGTCATTAACGTTGGATAAACTGATATTCATATCAGTGAAACAAAAATTAATAAATTAAACTTTCATTATTAGTCTATACTTTGCTAATTTATATCGTAGCTATGGATGACTAAATGTATTTATAATAGTTTTTATATGTAAGATAAACAGATGAGGAATCGTTTACTTAAGAAAGGGTTTGTCTTGATGTTGAGTCAGTTCATATAGTTATTTCTATGAGTTCACACGCTCTGCTTTCCACGCTGTGTTCGATATAATAAATATATTGAATATCGATAATTAACAAGTTCTTTTATTTCTTAGTCCATTTCCCAACAATTAATAATTTGAAATTAGTTTGTTAGTCTCCTATTTGAAAATAATGACGTTTGCTGATTTGTCTGCCTTATAGTCTGAAGACACTCAAAATGGAAGTGAATATAAACCAGTTGTTATTATTTTGTTTCTACACATGCGATTTAGTTTTTCACAACTGTTTAGCATGATAACATATTGTTATATATTTAGTCAAAATAATCTCCTGGCGCCAAATTATATTTTGAAAAATAGTTTTTAATTAAAATTATAAAAACTTCACACGCGTATGCTAATAGAGCAAAATAGGATTTTTCAAAATACATAGATAAGTATTTAATGATATGACCATCATTTGGTTTTCGATAGTATTATATGTTAGTAGTCTTCATTAGTTACAGTTGACAGTTACTTACAATCATTGATTTTAAAAAGCAACATAAAATCATAAACAAACAATTTATTGAGGCTTGAGACATGTTTACAGCCGAAGGTCAGATCTTAAACGCGATCTCTTACATGACCTGTGACCAGTAAAACATATTTTTTGTTTATTTATTTTTAGGCAGCCAAAATATACAATAGCTTATGGATTTCATTTTGCCCAAAGTTACAATATATTTATTTATTTCTGTGGAAAAAATACTGTCATAGTTTACAATTATTATAAAGACATTAAGATAAAACTTAAATAACCCAACGGATATACAGAATTTCGTTTCCAAGGCGATTAGGGAGAAGAGATTTTTGAATGTTATTGCATAAATGAACATCATCATTGGAGGTCAAATAGTATTTTACATTATTAACCAGGTGAAACAGTTTTTACCTCTTAAAGGTGATAATAAGAAATCTGTTCCAACACGTCAAAAACTGTCCTATGAACGGTCTCGAAACCACTCTGTAAACGAATTTCGGATTCTACGCACAAATTTCAGGCATTGCGCAAAATCGTGACGGTACATTGTACGATTTCCTGCTGTGTTGGAACAAAGCTACTCGCTTGAGGGCTCGCCAGTCATTTCAGTGGAAACTGTAATCTGGCGTATAATGTACAATAATTTATTTGTTACCAATTTGTGAGAGATATGTACAGTGTGGTCATTTTATCTTGATAAAATTTCAAACTGCCATAATTTCTTTATTTTTGAAGTTATTCAAATAAATAAAAAAACAGACTATAGGGTTGGTTTCCAAGTTTTAGATAGGGTGGACAAAAAACAAAAGATTAATATATTTTGACAGTTATGCACACAAATAGCATTTTTTTGAATGGAACTCCCAGTAAATTTTTAAATTGTTTGATATGTTTCATTCTGCTTGCAATATACAATACAATACACTTAAATACAATTTACTCTATATTTACATGCAGAAATGTTTTATTGATTCTAATGGAAAATTATGTCTATAATACGATAATACCTACCTTTGCAGGTAATTTGTGTAGGTAATCAATATTTCCAGTTAGAATAAATAAAACATTTTTGCATGCAAATATAAAGTGAATTGTATTGTATTGTAATATATTGCAATCAGAATGAAACATATTATCAGAGAAACTTAAAATTTACTGGGTGTTCCATTTGAAAAAATGCTATTTGTATGCAAAACTGTCAAAGTATATTAGCCTTTTGTTTTTTGTCCATCCTATATAAAACTTCGAAAACAATCATACAGTATGTTTCTTTATTTATTTAAATAACTTTAAAAATAAAAAATGTATGACAGTTCAAAATGTTATCAAGATAAAATGACCACCCTGTACATACAAATAAAAAATCCAAACAATAACATTTTAAAATCTATATTTTCTTCTTTGATTTTTTCTTATACAAGCCGTGGTGGTTGGTATGACTGTTATCTTCCGGCACTCCATGAAAACTATCGAAAACAAGGAGAAGTCCAAAAAAAAATACGAAGGGAAAGCACGAAGACAGAAAAAAAAACAAGCAGGGGCCTAAAGACAGAAAGAAAAAAAAAAGAAGCAGACCGATGAAAGAAACAAAAATAAGAAGTGCAAAAAAAAAAACAAGAAGAGGAAGACCGAAGACAGAAAGAAAGACCGAGGAAGCCCGAATAAGATAGAAGAAAAGGCAGGATGTGTAATGGATTCTTACTGTTATTTTGAGGAACAAACTGAACGCGAGAAAAATTAAATTTGAGAATTTCATAGAAGTGCGTGAAAAAATTGAAAATGTTCGTCAGAAAGTTGCAACGTCTTGCCCATGATATTATGGTTTTTGTCAGTATCGATGTGCATGAGCTCGAAGAAATGCTGAAAGAAGTAACCTAGGCGTTGCTCAAGACAGAGAATAAGCATAGAGATCAGTCAAAGCACTTAACCTGTTTTAATGTGGATTTCTCAAATGGAGTTGATTTCAAGAAGAAAATTCAAAGAAATTTCAATATAACTTTCTCAGCTCAAATAATAAAATAAATGAAAGATACTTTAGTTGTCTGTCCAATTACCAGGCAAAATCCACATCAAAGGTTCTGAAGTATACACATGAATTTCAACTGCAAGTCTCCTTGATGGACTTACCTATCTGTTTACCAATTTGCTCGTAGCTCTAATCTAATCTGCACGTGTTTAGAATATAGGTAGTTACTGTGTTTACTAAAATGAATGCCAATGAAGAATTTCACGTAACACATGCTGAATTTTATGAGTTAAATTAATAAACTCACTGATATTGAGTCCCAAGAGCATATATTTTTGGATGGAACACTCATCATGGGATAGTAGTAGTCGGTCACTAGATTATAGAAAAAAGTAACATGAAGAGCTTGAACGGATTCCACAACTAACTTGGAACTTGTTTCCTTCTAAAGGTTCTATCTATCTATCTATCTATTCAGCCTTCTTCAGTTCATCTTTGGACGTAGGCCTCCCCCAGTCTTCTCCTTTCCTCTCTGTCTGTTGCATGTTCATCCACCTGGTTCCAGCGTGCTTCTTCAGGTCATCAATCAGCATATTGCATCTGGGGTCTTCCTCTACTTCTTTTAGTCTCCCAAGTTCTCCAGCTTAAGATACATTTATTCCATCGGTCGTCTTTTTGCCTGATATTGTGACCTGCGAATTTCCATTTTAATTTTGCTACGTCCTTTCTAACGTCTCTCACTCTCGTTTTATTTCTTATCCACTCGTTCCTCTTTTTATCTATCAGTTTCACATGTAACATTTGTCTTGCCATTGATCTTTGTGCTTGTGTTATTTTATCCATGTTTGACTTTGTAAGTGTCCATGTTTGGGATCCATAGGTGAGAACAGGAAGTATACATTGATAATAAACTTTGATTTTGAGGTATTGTGTATATTTTCTATTTTTCAAGATGTAGCTGAATTCTCCGAATGCTGCCCAAGCTAATCTACCTCGTCTCTTGATTTCTGCTGTTTGATTTTCTTTGTTGAGTTTAATAATCTGTCCTAGATATACAGTAAGTTCATAAAGTCGCGCACAAATTCATTATTTTGAAAACGATGGAATTTTTGAAAAATTGCTCGGATACGTCAATTTTGTTTTTTTGTTTGAAATTTTTCGATATATGGGCAGGGTGTCTCAAAAACAGCTTCGCTGGTATCAACTTTTTTTTTTCAATGGTACCCCCTGTATATTATGACATTTCTGGATACTGCGGGAAATTCTAGACATATTTCGTTTACAATGTCATATACCTATCTTCAACTGTTTCGGAAATATTGACAGTTGAAAATTGACTTTTTTGCAACTTTGACAGGGTGTAAAACCTAAACGGTTAATTCTACAGCAAAACCTGTTTACATTCTCGTCTGTAGCTTTTCATAAGCTATCATTTGACACCAATTTTGAATTTAACCGGAGATTAAATTTAACCGGAATTCTTAATCATGTAATAATTTTAGAGATGAAGTCAAATCATAGTTTCTGAAAAACTAAGATAAGAATGTATGATCGGTTCTGCTTTAAAATCAACCGATCAGGTTTTACAGTCTGTCAAAGATGTAAAAAAGTCAATTTTCAACTGTCAATATTTGCGAAACAGTTGAAGATAGGTATATGACATTGTACACGAAATATGTCTAAAATTTTGCGCAGAATCCAGAAATGTCATAATATACAGGGGGTATCATTGAAAAAAATAGAGTTGATACCAGCGAAGCTATTTTTGAGGCACCCTGTATGATAAAAAATATATCGAAAAATTTCAAACAAAAAATCGCTCGTACACGTAATTTGATTTTAAAAGGAGGAAGTTTTCTGCAACCATTTTTAGCACTTTAACATTAACCCTCTAGGCGGGGTGGAACAAACCCTTGCTATTTCAAATGGAACAAGGGGTC